CGGCATCCCGTATCATCGTGGCCACAGCTGCCAACTTTGATGGACTTCCGCGTGCAGTAGCGTACGTTACAAGTGCGCGGCCATTTGCGACCATGCGCGCTGTTTCTCTATCTCTCTCTCGTCTTCACTGGTACGCCGTCTTCCTGTCCTCCTCGCTCTTTTTGGAAATTCGTATGCATATCTCTGGTCAGCTTGTGTGGCAGAAATCAACAGACCGAGTTCGACCTACCGTACGGTAGTACGGTGCACGTTTCGCCATATCTTGAGTATTATACTTTAGCTTCGTCGACTCCCTCGCAGTACCAGTGCTGCGCACAGGATATATGGAGGCGTTTGTCGAAACACCTTTGGGGCTGCTGTGCGTTCCGGCAACGACACACCACACCAAACTAAGACCCTGACACCGTAGAGCTAGTTATTTACTGTCTTCTGACCCTTGTTTGGTCGAGTTTCATGGCCTGTGGCCCGCGAACGTGACAAAAGAAGAATTCGAAGTTCGGAGGCAAATACCTGGCACTTTTGGATGCGGCCCAACCTACCCCTGGCCGAGGGCGTGTTTCGTCCGACGACGAGAACGCAGCGCAGACCGCACAGATCCACATGAAACTTGGCACACAAACTGGAAATGCCCGTATCAGACCGTACGTCAAGTGGTGTGTTGGAATTCCACCAAACGCAGTCGGGGGCGGCGTGTTTCGTGTAAAAATGACGCTCGCGCGCAAGCATCATGCTAAGTTTCCTCAGGATGGTTGCGGAAGGGCGCACCCGTGTGTGAAAGAAGATGCTGTGGGCTTTGCCCAGTACTTTGAATTTTGCTGCAACACGCCGTATACGCCGAGAACGCCTAATCGGCGCGAACCCAGTTTTGAACTTTGGGTTTCGCCGACGCACACCGGCTCTCTCTCCCCTCCAGCACATGAAGAAACAAAAAAAAGAAAAAAGCGCTTCACCCAGCGAAGCCAGTGTCGCAGCGGTAGCTGGGAGTCGGCGCAATCGGAACCTAGGCCCTGCGAAGGTTGAACTGCACCCGCGGGCGCGATTGATATGCGTATACTTGGGCAGTCTGCACCAGTTTAGTCAATCAGCAGCGCACATTAAAATTAGATACATTTACACACGGAGTAAACTACTACATACAGCACCACGTCAACCAGCTAAGGTACCTCGCGTGCCAGTTTTACTCCTTCGGGCCAACAATACTTTCTCAATTACTCGAACAACACGCTAAGGCACAAGACACGACGAAACTCTAAAAGACACTACTTGCAAGACTGCCAAAATGTCGCTAAGATGAATAAATCTTAAAATTTTAATGATGATGCTAATGAGTATATTCTAGGGACGGCACGCAAGTAAGTCCCAAATGGTTCGAAGAACACATAACAAATCGTAAATCACAAGAAGAGACATGTCCAGTCAAAGTTATGGGAAAGTGCCAACCACAACAAAGAAAAAAATACAAGACTATAAATCAAGTTCAACAGTACATGTTCACAACAACTTCTCCTCCTCCCCAACGGCCAGTCCCTGCTGTCGTCCCAGCACCACACTCCCCCCCCCGACCGTTCCCTTGACTTATCAGCCAGCATCCCATTCCGCCTCTCGCAGCGGAACGTTCAAGTGTATGGATTAGCCTGGG